AGTAATAAAGCATAAAGATTTGGGAGTCATAATAAGCAGCGATCTCAAAACTAATAGTAACTGTACGGCTGCTGCTGCAAAAGGCTTCAGTGTATTATGAGCTATTCGTAGGTCTTTTCAGTATCTGAATGAAATGTTTAAATTATTATACCCAACTTTCGTGAGACCGCATTTGAAATATGGGATTCAAGAAGCGAGCCCTTGTTTTAAGTATGAGGTGGATATGCTGACGACGAGGGACTAAAATGGTGAAAGGTCTTTCTGGTCTATCTTATGAAGACAGACTGAGACAACTTATTTCCGTCATCTTACAGAATACAGCGTGATCTAATACTGGTTAGTGTATACTAAACAGTGGCCTTGTTATTAATATGTCTTATCTGTTTCTTACGTTTAGGACTGATTATTTGAGAGGACATTCGAAGAAAAATCAAAAACTGAGATCAAATCGTTTGAAGCTTCGCTTCTCAAATCGAGTTATTTATTTACTTATTTGAACACATAAATATTGGTACAAGGGGGGCACCAAATATATATGCGCCACACAAAACAATGATAATTTGAAGAGAAGGAGAAAAGAGAAAAAAAGAAGTGATGAACGTGGGGAATTATTAAAAAAAGGGAGAGAGACAGAACAATGGTGGGGGAAACGGAAAGGTACAGTCAGAAGAGATCTTTCAGTTAAGGAAGATACAACCACTTTTTATGAAGAAAGTAAAAGAAGGTTACAGCAGGATCTCCACTAACTTCTATTCTGAGCCATATCTAATAACGTCTCTAGCCACTGCGTTACACCGTCTTTCGGACCCCAACCAGGGAGTCGTGAAGGACCAACAGAAGCTAGCCCTTTGCAGCTTTCTTTCATAATATGGTCAAATCGAGTAGTGAATTATTGTGATTCTCTAACAAAACACGTAATATCAGAGTCTCTTATTACCAAATTCAAAACGAGATTAGCCCTCCATAGTGCTACAAACTGCAAGGATCAATATAGGTCGATAGACCTATCATTATTATTGTAGACTGACCGCTGCAAGTCGTATTTCTTTCCTGGTGAAACTTTTTACTTTAAGTTCACTGGAGAGATGCAACTTCAAAAACGGCGAGACGACACCCATGAATTTGTGTTAAACAATGAGCAAAATTAGGCAGTAAGCGTTAGGAAACCATTTTATACGATATACTTCAGTATATTTCAATAGTCCATTATAACCTTAGTAAGTATAAGCAATTTAGTTTAATGGCTAAAAGGTAAATATGAATCAATAAGTCTTATTTATGAACTAAAATTTATTGACCTCATAATAAATCTCATTTAAGTACACAGTATTAGAACTATAATTGTACTTACTTTCTCCTCTGTCCTATAATATCAAGAAGCCCAGGTACTGGTGTTTTTGTCCGATCGTACTTTCCGTACTTCTTAATACATATGAGGGCCGAAAGATGAATTCGATCGTCAAAACTTAAGTGGAATGCCTTTTCAGCTTTCTCTAGATGTCAGATTGTATAATATTCTACTTGAGTATATCTCACCATTGAAAAATGTCTGAGCAAGATCAAATATCTCATCAAAATCAAGCTTGTACTTTTTCTGAAACTCCTTAATTGCCACGTCATCTAGACAATCCTTAGGCAGAGATGACATTTCAGTTCAACTTGCCAGCTGGATATGTAACGTTATTATTTAAAAATCGCACATCACCTGTAAAAAAATCATGACACATTGAAAATCACAATCGACATGCAGTCAAAATGCCCGCATTCTTCGATGTACAGACGTTTTAAGAATACTGTAAGTCATGAGGAGGTTACCTCCAAGACGCTGTAGTGGTAAATAAATCCCCAAAATAAATAGCTATGTAAGTTTTCGATATCGTATGCTGACCATATTAGTTTTAATGGACTAATCTAGCTGAAGGCTCTCGATCATGCATCCGCACCACATTATGTGTGGAAACGCCATGCTAAACATCTACTGCGATCGCTAGCCAGATTAGTTCAGACCATTCTCAAAATATTGATGGCCTATCAAAGATATATACTAACCTCCTCGCTTCTGTCCTTTGTTCTCACTTGGTGGGTACGTTTCATATTAGAAGGTGTTACTGGTTGAAGCGTTGTCAAACTCTGAACACCTGTGGCATATTCAACATCTAAGTAGTGTACTTTTTTAGGATCACAATAAATTTCATTACTTCGTAGACTACAGAATTTTCTAGTGGTGTTGTAGTGCTATTCGTCATAACCACACAATCCTCAAAGCTGAATATGAGTTAACTGGGAAAATTAATGTAGAATTACGGTCTAGTTCGTAACTAGTACAAATCTAATAATAAACCTCATCCTAAAAGCATAAATTTGTAACGATGTGACTACTTAATATACAAGATCGTACGTGGAAGTCACAGCATTGTCTTCTAAGACTCATTGTATCACGAGAATTATTAATGTGTTACGTAATAATTCTGAAGAACACATTTAGGCTGAAGATAGAATAATATATTTAATGTGAATAAAGAAGTGTAAGGCAAAAAGGCTACGTCTGCGAGGTCGAGCCATGCCATCCGCTTGAATTCATGAGTATTCCTGCATTCACCAGTGTTGGCACTCTTTGCGTGTCTAATGTTGAATATCTTTTTGTCCAATAATCTTATATTCAATTTTGAGTATTGTGTGGTTAAAAAATTTGGGTGTAGGCGTCTCAAAGATGCCTTTCTGATGACCTGCAAAAATCAAAAAACTTTCCGACAGGCCCTCGAACAATAAATTACGTTCACTGCCAGCACAAAACTTAGAGGCATCACATAGAATATATCGAGATGACGTAGCAGAATGGACTGCAGGGCTACCTTCAACACTTTCCCGGTGATCAGGCTCTGAGATACGCTGCTATTTAAGGTGGTGCGAAGGACTCATCACGAGTCCTTTAAGAGAAAACGTGGCGGGTTTTTAAGGCCTCAGGAGAGTGTTTCGCTATACTTCTCTAATATTTCATTTCCATTGTTTAATATATCTAAGTTCCTACATGGAGACACCAGTGACCCATTGATACTAAAGAGCATTAGGTGAAAGCTTTTTTATTCCGTACAAAATCATTTGAACTACTTTCAAATTTAAGATGCTTTTTGTTTGAATACTTCGAATGTATATGTTGCTGATACTTTCTGGGAGCGCGTTTGTGAATGTGCTCAGATTTACTGGCGATTGACCGTTCTAGTTGTCGCGGTGATTAAAGTTCACTAAAACTGTCTCTAAGTTCGTTGTTCATCCAATCAAGAACCTGCTTCTGATTGATGAGAAATTAATATTCACTATATTCAGTTGAAAATAACGCTACTAGCATTACTACTATCATTCTAAACATGGTCCTAGGTTATAGTTATTCGTTAGACTGTGATTCAGAGTCTAGAAAGAATAATCTTGTTGATTTGGAGGAATTTCCTGCTTTAACAAAATCGAAACCCATATGCTTCAGTGGTGTAACGTGGAAAAACCAAGTCTTTGTTCCTACTGAGGATTCCATAGAATCAGAAGCCACTGGAAATAACTGTCTGAATGTCTCTAAAAAGAAACGTTTAAAAAAGAAGAAGAAAAAGATTCTGTGCAGTGAGGAAAGCACTGATGATAGCTCCCCTGCCAAGTGTTGCGACTTCTGGTTTTTTGTGAGCGAAAAAGTGGATAGCACTAGTAAGTTCACAATATTTGTGTACGTTTATTTGTTTTATTGACTGCAATTCATCCTCACTGTAGGGATCAGCATTTTTGGTGAATTCACGTCATCACGAATCTTTATAGATTTATCTGACTCAGGCGTATAGGCTCTGAAAGATTTCATTTGAATGGCGCAAATAATAACATTGCTGAAATAGTATTAAAAGCTGGTTTAAACGACCTTATTGTGTCAGTTATCAGTTAGCACTACGTTAAAATTTTATAACCCATGACTATTGCCCGGTTTCTGTTTTACTGTTAAACTTAGTGCTCAAATAAGTCTCGAGAACCTTAGCCTGCTTCTGCTTAGATTGAGTTTCCATTTCATTACTTCGTAGACTACAGAATTTTCTAGTGGTGTTGTAGTGCTATTCGTCATAACCACACAATCCTCAAAGCTGAATATGAGTTAACTGGGAAAATTAATGTAGAATTACGGTCTAGTTCGTAACTAGTACAAATCTAATAATAAACCTCATCCTAAAAGCATAAATTTGTAACGATGTGACTACTTAATATACAAGATCGTACGTGGAAGTCACAGCATTGTCTTCTAAGACTCATTGTATCACGAGAATTATTAATGTGTTACGTAATAATTCTGAAGAACACATTTAGGCTGAAGATAGAATAATATATTTAATGTGAATAAAGAAGTGTAAGGCAAAAAGGCTACGTCTGCGAGGTCGAGCCATGCCATCCGCTTGAATTCATGAGTATTCCTGCATTCACCAGTGTTGGCACTCTTTGCGTGTCTAATGTTGAATATCTTTTTGTCCAATAATCTTATATTCAATTTTGAGTATTGTGTGGTTAAAAAATTTGGGTGTAGGCGTCTCAAAGATGCCTTTCTGATGACCTGCAAAAATCAAAAAACTTTCCGACAGGCCCTCGAACAATAAATTACGTTCACTGCCAGCACAAAACTTAGAGGCATCACATAGAATATATCGAGATGACGTAGCAGAATGGACTGCAGGGCTACCTTCAACACTTTCCCGGTGATCAGGCTCTGAGATACGCTGCTATTTAAGGTGGTGCGAAGGACTCATCACGAGTCCTTTAAGAGAAAACGTGGCGGGTTTTTAAGGCCTCAGGAGAGTGTTTCGCTATACTTCTCTAATATTTCATTTCCATTGTTTAATATATCTAAGTTCCTACATGGAGACACCAGTGACCCATTGATACTAAAGAGCATTAGGTGAAAGCTTTTTTATTCCGTACAAAATCATTTGAACTACTTTCAAATTTAAGATGCTTTTTGTTTGAATACTTCGAATGTATATGTTGCTGATACTTTCTGGGAGCGCGTTTGTGAATGTGCTCAGATTTACTGGCGATTGACCGTTCTAGTTGTCGCGGTGATTAAAGTTCACTAAAACTGTCTCTAAGTTCGTTGTTCATCCAATCAAGAACCTGCTTCTGATTGATGAGAAATTAATATTCACTATATTCAGTTGAAAATAACGCTACTAGCATTACTACTATCATTCTAAACATGGTCCTAGGTTATAGTTATTCGTTAGACTGTGATTCAGAGTCTAGAAAGAATAATCTTGTTGATTTGGAGGAATTTCCTGCTTTAACAAAATCGAAACCCATATGCTTCAGTGGTGTAACGTGGAAAAACCAAGTCTTTGTTCCTACTGAGGATTCCATAGAATCAGAAGCCACTGGAAATAACTGTCTGAATGTCTCTAAAAAGAAACGTTTAAAAAAGAAGAAGAAAAAGATTCTGTGCAGTGAGGAAAGCACTGATGATAGCTCCCCTGCCAAGTGTTGCGACTTCTGGTTTTTTGTGAGCGAAAAAGTGGATAGCACTAGTAAGTTCACAATATTTGTGTACGTTTATTTGTTTTATTGACTGCAATTCATCCTCACTGTAGGGATCAGCATTTTTGGTGAATTCACGTCATCACGAATCTTTATAGATTTATCTGACTCAGGCGTATAGGCTCTGAAAGATTTCATTTGAATGGCGCAAATAATAACATTGCTGAAATAGTATTAAAAGCTGGTTTAAACGACCTTATTGTGTCAGTTATCAGTTAGCACTACGTTAAAATTTTATAACCCATGACTATTGCCCGGTTTCTGTTTTACTGTTAAACTTAGTGCTCAAATAAGTCTCGAGAACCTTAGCCTGCTTCTGCTTAGATTGAGTTTCCATTTTATTTTCTACATACATGCCGCTCAGTTTTTACAGCTTATATTAGCAAGTAAAGTTGATGTTTTACAAGCTATCTGGAGTTATTTTACAGTGATCCGCAGCAGTAAATGAGTCTAACGACGGGAATGACCATTATTTTAAGTTGATTAACGATATCATCTGGTAGTTTCAAAGAACATTTTTCCTAATAGCTGCACTAACAGACTGCTTTATGTGTACTAAGATAATGTCAGTACTTTGTCTAGTGTTGCTTCGTTTTGTAATATTTCAAGTGTAACTAGATCTGATAGTAAACCTATCACGTTGTAGAAAATTGTGTGAACAGTTGACTCTGTCTTTTGATATTTATATTACTTGTAAACTTTGTAAGTGTTAATATCAATATGGATTTTCTAGTACCTTTATCTCAGACAGCATTTTATTTTCTGAGTAAACTTTTGGCTTCATGAATAATACTCTATTTGTTAGAACTATTTGAAATGTAATATGTAATGTTGGTCTTCAGCGTCACAACTATATCGACTTTTGTGGCTAACTTAGTAGGTTTGGGCTGGCTGTTATGGTCTAGATATAATTTCGATCAGTGGTTGTAAGCATTGGGCAATATGGCTCAAAGTCAGCCGCGTTCACGTGAGCTGTGTCTGTTCCTAGATCCTGGGTTTCGAAATTATTTCGTACTTTTTACTTCTCCAGTGATTTCTTTCTCATCGTATAATTCGCGTCTAATCTTTCTTGCTACTTCTAACATTACTACTACTAGTGCTACTTTTTATCCATACTTTCATCTTGCCGTCTTAATGTCGAGCGGGAGGTTTGTTTTGTTTATTTGGACATAAATGTTGTTACGAGGAGGGATCAAAACACAAGAAAATGAGGTTGTGAGATAGGGAAAGTGAACATAACATTAATGCATAGAAATCAGTGTGTGAGAATGAATTGATGATGATTGTAGTGATAATAATAGCCGTAGTGAGAGAAGCACTCCAGCTAGGGAAAATAAACCCTGTGAGAATTCTTTCAGTTAAAGAAGCTACTCACTTTTATTAGGAAAGTTAAGTCACCTCCGGATCACCTCTAGCTTCTATTGTGAACCGTGTATGATAACGTTTCCAGCCACTGTTGCACCATCTTTAGGACCCTAACCAGGGAGTCGTGAAGAACTAACAGCAATCAGTCTTGTACAGCTTCCATTCCATAACACTATATCATGCACTGGCCATCTCCGCTTTTCCCAACCAGTCTCAGCGTCGGTAAATAATGCAGGATGTGAAATTATCTAAGACGACATCCGTAAGACATGTACGAGCTACCAAAGTTTTCAAGATGGTGATACTAAATGAGTTGTCGTCACTGTGCCCGAACACACGTTACCGATCCTCTGCATTACTAATATGTTGTTGTCACTGGATATCAGCAATCCTTCGGAGACAACGATGATCAAACAGAGAGTCGTCTAACATCCTCAACTCAAAGAGGCCGGGTTTCACAATTATGGAGCATAACCGTCCTCACCGACGCATTATAGTTCCAACCTTTTACTGTCAAACTAACATAACGAAAGCGCCCATAATGGCCTAGATTAGCATAAGCCGCTCTGACTTTCAGTACATGTAAATTGCGGTTCTCCTCCTCGAAATGCAAAATGTTGCTTCAAAATTGAGTTGCACCGGCACATGAACTAACGATAGGGAGTGAAGTAGTTGAGTGTGTCGACCGCTTCACTTGTCTTGGGAGTCTCATCAGCGTTTGTGGTCTGGTGTGTGACGAAATCTCAACATGGATACGAAAGGCTCGACTAGTTTTTGTCAACTTACATCATATATAACGTAGGCAAGACATCCGTCTATCAACCAAAGGATGGGTTTACTGCACGGCAGTTTGTTCCATTCTACTTTATGGCTGTGATAAATGTCCGGCAAGAGTAGATGATATTCATGGGTTGCTAGTATTTGATCATAGGTGTCTTCGAAGCATTGCTCGTATATCTTGGGACCACCGAGCAATTAATGCAGTTGTTAGGAAATGGGTACTAGCTGAGGATGACAAATAAATTGATGAAGTTCCACTACTTGAATTGAGCTTGCTGAGACATGTGTTACTTATGCCTAACCACCGACTGCCACGACGTGCGATGTTTTATGGTGTAGGAGTAGGTTGGAAGAAAGCTATGGACGGTCAAACCAGAACATGGCACAAAAACATGAAGTCACCGACAAGTGAACTGAGCCATGTTGGTAGGTATAGACTACCTGGTTGGGGTCCACGAGATGACAGCAACCGATGGTTAGAGACCTTGAATGACATGGCTCAAAATCGGTGGAGAAGATTCGTAGCTCAGGTGGATGATTTCGATGGAGTTTTATTCTCTGAGCTGGATAGTTTGGTCGTGGAGCTTTCATCGTTCTTCTGAACGACATCATCAGCACAAACTTCAGATAGAATTTATTTCACTGTATTATGCTCCTTAAATAACATCTTCAAACCCTAATGTTTCCGATTACTGCTTATACTCTTACCACCTCTACCACTACGGGATTTGAGTCGACAACTGTATCTCTGTGCTAATGTGGTATGGCGACTCGAACTGATGTACGTACGTACGAAGTTCTACGTTGTTGCTGAATGACTGACATATGCATTGACTTCACACTCGCCGTCACCGGCACTCATATAACAACCTAAATACACGAAATTCTCAACTATTATCTGTTTAATAGCAAGAGTAATTGGAGGCTTGGGGTGCTGATAGTCTTGTAAAAGTACTCTGCACCTCCACATAAAAGTTGCTACACCTGCCAATATCACAGAGAATTAACATAAACGCTTAAAGTGAGACTAATACCACTTCTTGTATATGTATATATCGTGTCAGAAGTCACAGTATTTTATGTACTGTTATATTCATGCGCCTATGATCAGTCAGTCAGCTGCAACGTAGGACCAGGCACGTATATGCATCGGTCCAAGTTGCCATACCGCATTAGCACAACAAGATGAACACCGGATTCATAGAAGTAGTTAATTCAGTGGTGGTAATATATCGAAGAAAGATTGTGTATAAGGAGATAGTAGAGGAAGAAAGAATTAGTTCCTAGACAGATATGAAGCGATTTTAATCTCTTAATTTAAGGAAGACCGAGAGTGTATACACCGACGCCATTGTGATCGATTCTGAGCCATGTCACCAAGAGTCTCCAACCATTGAATACGATAGTCACGCGGACCCCAACCAGGCAGTCTGCATCTACCAACATGGCTCAGACCAGAAGTTAGTGACTTCAAGCACTGATGCCACGTTTTGGTTTGGCCGCCCCTAACTTTCTTCCAATTATCCCCTGCACTAGTCAGCATTGCGCGTCGTGGTAATCGGTGTTCAGGCATACGCAACACGTGGCCCAACCATCTCAGTCGATGAAGATTCATTACCTCATCAACTGATTTACCATCATTCCCTGATACCCTGCGTCCAACCTCACTATTACTTACCCGGTGATCCCAGCAGCTGCGAGCAATATTTCTAAGGCACCTGTGGTCAAATACTAGTAACTTACGAATATCTTCTACTCTTAAAGGCCATGTTTCGCAGCCGTATAGAAGGACGGAACGAACTGCCGCGCAGTATACTCGTCCCTTAATTGATAGACGGATATCTCGCCTTCGCCATAGATGACGTAAGTTGGCAAAGGCCAAACGAGCTTTTCGAATCCGTGCTGAGATTTCGTCAGACACCAACCCATTAGGGCTGATCAGACTTCCAAGATAAGTGAAGTTGTCAACGCGTTCGACTACTTCACCCCCTATCCTTAGTTCAGGTGTTGATGCAGACCAGTCCTGAAGCAACAACTTGCATTTAGAGGGAGAAAAGCGCGTCCCAAACATTCTAGCATTGTTGCTCAGTGCTACCAAAAGGCTCTGCATTTCATCAGTGTCTTCACCAAACAGGACTATGTCATCTGCGTATTCTAAGTCAATAAGTGGACCTCCTGGTAGGAGATCAGTACCCGAGAAGTCAGTCGATGAGAGCGTTATTTCCATCAGGATTTCTATGATAAAGTTAAACAAAAATGGAGAAAGTGGACAGCCTTGACGGACGCCACTTGAGGTTGCAAAAGCAGATGACAGTTCGCCATAGACTCTGACCCGACTAGTAGTGTTCGAGTAAAGAGCCTTCACAAGGTTTATGTACTTCTGAGGTACGTCTTTCAATGACAGACACTGCCACAGAACCTCTCGGTCAACAGAGTCAAACGCTGCTTTTAAGTCAAGGAATACCACTATTGTCGGACGCCGATAAGTATGCCTGTGTTCTAGAACCTGACGAATGGTGAATATGTGGTCGATACAGCCACGACCAGGTCTGAAGCCAGCCTGATTTTCACGTGTTTGCAGTTCACGAGTCTTAGTTAGGCGTCCGAAAATTATCGAAGCTAGTATTTTAGATACTATATTGGTCAAACTAATCCCTCTGTGGTTGTCACAGGATGATTTTGACCCTTTCTTAAATATTGGGACGATAAGTGATTGTGACCAGTTAGATGGAATAACGTCTAACTCCCAGATTTTAGCTAAAATATTAGTCAACCTAATCGCTAAGACTAGACCACCATCCTTAAAGACCTCTGGGGCCAATCCATCTGAACCAGCTGCCCTTCCTCGTTTCAGATTAGCTATAGCCTTTTGAACTTCAGCTAGAGTTGGGGGACCTACTTCAATGTTCCATTCATACTGTCTGGGAATAGAGGGTAGTTGTAGAGTAGCTGAATGCCAGCTAAACTGCTCCTTAAAGTGTTCCGCCCATCGTTCTAAGCGTCTGAACTGGGAGCAGATGAGAGTGTCGTCTTTTTCCGAAATGGTCTGACTTACACTTGATTTATTAATTCCAGTTTCTTTTATTAGTCTGTAAAGTTGTCTTGTGTTCCCTATAGCCGCCGCCTTTTCCATCTCTTTTGCTTTCGTTGCCCACCACTGCTCACGATCATTCCTTAAACTTTTGCTTAATCTAGATTTGATTTCTTTACGCTCTTCATCGTATTCAAAACCTGATGGGATGTGTTTGCGAGAATCCATCAGTGCAATAGACCTTGACGAAATCCATTGGTTTTTTGTAACCCTGTGGTTTAAATCACTAGTAGATGTCACTGCTGTTTCCACAGCTGCTTGTATAACTTTCCAAGCAACATCTGGGTCAGTCTCGTTTTCAGAACTACCTAAGTGTGACCTCAGTTGTTCCTGGAACCTACTTTTGGCTTTCTCATTACTCAATTCGGTTCTAATGAGTCTTTTTGTGTGGCTCTTTTGCGTCCAGTGAGGCGCAAGCAGATGCGTGCTCGTACTAGGGCATGATCAGAGTCCAAACAGGTACCCCAGAATGAGCGACAATCTTCTATTGACCCTCTCCAACGATGACTGATGGCAATATGGTCTATTTGAGTCCATCGTTAGTTTGGTGCAGGGGGTCGCCATGTTAGACGATGTCTCTCCTTATGCTTAAAATTTGTGTTTGCTAAAAATAAACGATTGTCTGAGCACAGTTGCAGCAGACGATCACCGTTATCTGTTCGCTGTGCTGGAATACTAAAATACCCACCTAAATGTCTTTCTGTTTTGTTTAAGCTACCTACCTGGGCATTAAAGTGGCCTCCTACGAGTACTATGTCTGAACGTTTAGCTTTCTGAAGAAGTTCAGACAGCTTTCTGTAAAATTCATCTTTCACTTCATTCGGGATGCAGTCAGTGGGATCGTAGGCAGAAACGACGAAAAGGCAACGACGTGTGTCCCTATCCTTCCGAGTTCTTACGGAGCCGTTTAGCCGAACAGCGCATAGACGACTATTAACGGGGATCCACTCTAATAGCGCTTGTTCCGCCCTCATGCTTAGTGCTATGCCTACACCTGCCAGTCCACGAGAACTAGCCATCGGGTCGCCAGATACACGGAGGGTGTATCTCGTTGGCTCTCCGTTTTGCCGAGGTGAGGTCAAGTGAATGACCACACTAGGTACCTGTATGCGTGTTTCGGAGACAGCATACATCAATGGTACGAGATTCTAAGGTTTTAGCCAAGGAAGCCTGCTGACCGATTTGGCATAGTGTGCGTACGTTGAAGGCTCCAATGTATAGTTTGGAGCGAGGTTTCAGTAGACCTGGGACAGTGTTTTGAGCACTAGAATCGTTGGCTGTGGTGACACTTGAGGAGGAAGCTAAAAGAGGAAGTTTAGTGTATAAAGTCGATGTAGGAGGAATAATAGGAATTGAAGAGGGAGGTTGACTATGAATACAGTGGTCTTGAGTGCTGTTAGAGGTGTGAGGGCGGTTATCACTTCCCGGTTGCCCACACCGTGGAAGGGTTCTTCTGGAGGTACCTGAAAAGGAAATTGGATTAGAGTTGGTCATAGTGACCTGAGAGCGTGACCACAGTGCTCAAGGGACAGCTGCTTGAGGTCGGTCACACACGACCGACCCACCCCTCCTTGTGGGAAGGCAGCATCGCTGTCATGCTGGTTGTCTGAAGGAAACACCTTACTGCTGTCACACCTCTGTACAGTCAGCAGTACGACTTCGCCTTCGGACCTTGGTTTTGTTGCTTTTAGTCTTACCGCTCTTCAACCGACCTGTCTGGCATGGTAGGACCTTGAGGAACGGTTGTTCCAGCCAGTATAGCTCAGTTGCTTCATCACGATAGGCAAGCCCGACCACCACGTCAAGGTAGCAACAACGATATTGTTACATGTACTACCTGAATATTCAAATATAAATATATTTTCCTATAGGTGTTTCATCTGTTTAGATAACTTTTAAATAAGCCGCTGTCCCTATCGTCAAATTGGATAACTGAGTTATATCGGCTGTTTGTGTATTCTTCAGTTGAAAAACGTTTGGAATCACTGTCAGTTTGAAAACCTTTGCTTTTATCGAAATAAGTCTAGTTTGAAACTTTTGGACGAAAGCTCACGAAATTATTACATTACGTTACGAGAAGTAACTATTAAAAGCTTCACTTACTTAACTATAAAAAGATTGTTGTTGTAAGTTTTATGTGATTTATGTGTTCAACATTTGCTCCCTTTAATAATTCATTCGTATTATTATGTAAACAGTTCAGTTAATAAAATGATTTTGTATCTTATTAACAGAGGTAAATCAACCGTCATTTCGTGAAACTCATTTCGAATTCATAAAAAGGTGGGTGCAAATTAAGTATTTTTGTACCAGCAGTATGCTTTGTATAAAGAACTATTTTGCTTTGGCATAAATTAACGAAGCAAATATTATTGTTTTGATGTGACGTTTACATTGTCTTTCAACAGCATCACTTCAAACTGGAAGATCTTTCAAGTATTGTGATAATCAAATCACTAACACTGCTCACTTCTTGTATTATGGGTTATTCCCAAACGCAGCTGAAACCAAAGGATGCTTAAGTAGTTATCGTACCTTAGTCTAACGAACGCGCACTAATAAGTAACAGCAAACTAAAGAAGCATAGATAATGTTATGTGTGACGGAATTAAAATACAGTCCCTATACCGTACTTTTATTAAAGGATTATTCCAGACAGGTTCATATTAGGTAGGAAATTATTAAGGGACATGTGTAGGTGCAGTGTCCTGAAAAAACAGTGGGTTGTTGTATCTTTTATTCTTTTAGGTCTGTCAATATGTTGTAATAGACCGCATCTAATGTGATAGTTCTGTTTCACTATGCACATGCATCACAACTATTTAGGTATTCAGAATTAATGAATTACGTATCACTTAAATATTTATTAGTATAACTTGACATATTTTTCTCCAGTTAGTCAATGAGTCCTCTTATCTTTACTTCTTAAGATATAATTGTTGTATCCTAAGACAAACGTTTCTGTACCTTATGTTCATAATTTTGAAGTGATATTTCTGCAAACACCCTCTTCAGTGAATCCAACACCATGTTTGCAATCATATCCGGAGACAATAGTCCATTGAATTCTCTTATTGTAATATCAGGATCTTAGTTGTTAAAAGTGTGTCTAGATATCCTCCAATCTGGTTAGTTAGATCCTCTTTATTATAAAACTCACTATCTTCACCGTTGGTTCACTACCACATATTCTTACGAATCGTATCTAGTTGCTGGTTGTAACTGTTCATGGTATCCACATATCAGACATTAATGCTTTATCTGGTATGGAAGTTTACGAAAATGAGAGAACGAAAAGCGAATTTCCGGCGCTTTAACCGGATCCCAAACCAATGGTGCACATGGGCTCCAGTATCCTGCGGGAACAAATGGCGTATGAACCAATCGTTGGTCACCGGCTACCATGGGACTGCATCTCCTTACGATGCTGCACTACCTTGTGGGTCAGACGTTCAGGTCGAAGGCTCGGGGTGTGGCCCCCTAAGAAAACCACCTGCTTCGGTCTGGGCACCCGGGCAGTATCACAACCCCCACACAAATCAATTGAGATTCGTGTGGCGCATATGTATTTGGTGCCTCCTTGTACCAATATCTATGTGTTCAAATAATAAAAAATATATTTCACATCGAATTTATTTCTTCACCACTGTTAGCAATGAGGGTAAAACCAATTTTAAATCTACTTTGTGGCATAAATTCTACATTATGAACACTAATTTTGTATATTTTTGACTAATCCGATTAAATACAGTTTGCATTTTACTGTTGTGCGCACCTGATGACGTAGATCGTTCCCAAAAATCAGTAGACTTTAATATTCAAAAATATCGCACCATATGTCTGTAAACAGATTGTCGTATTTCGCCTACTACTTACGTGTTTTTCTAAACAAAGAAATGAAAGGATGAATAATTATTGGTGTGTATCTCATGCGTAACTATGACCTAGAACGCAGATATTTTTCATCTATTGGGTGTGTCTGACCTTAACCTGAATATTGGAGAGGGTCGTCAGGTGACTAATTTGTACGGCGTATGTCCGTTCGTCTATCATTATTGATCTAGTAATAGGATGCCTTTGGCTTAGGTAGTCGTGATATATTGTCAGACAATTTTAGGGTCAATTCTTCATTTTTTTATGGATTGCTATGACATTCTATGATTATAGCTATAAAATAATGTAAATGAGGTGGCCGAACCATGACTGCATATAAAAAAGTTCAGTTAGTCAAATAATGTTTTGTGGGTCTAAAATTTAAACTAAGTATGCTCCACTTCTGAAGTCATTCAGTTATGCAGAATACAGAACCTGATATAAATACTGATCAGTCAGTCAGTAACAACGTGGAACTTCGTACGTACGCACATCAGTTCTCATTTGGTGCCCTCTTGTACCAATATTTATGTGTTCAAATAAAATAAAATAAACATCAGTTCGAGTTGCCATACCACATTAGCACAGAGATACAGTTGTCGACTCAAATCCCGTAGTGGTAGAGGTGGTAAGAGTATAAGCAGTAATCGGAAACATTAGGGTTTGAAGATGTTATTTAAGGAACATAATACAGTGAAATAAATTCTATCTGAAGTTTGTGCTGATGATGTCGTTCAGAAGAACGATGAAAGCTCCACGACCAAACTATCCAGCTCAGAGAATAAAACTCCATCGAAATCATCCACCTGAGCTACGAATCTTCTCCACCGATTTTGAGCCATGTCATTCAAGGTCTCTAACCATCGGTTGCTGTCATCTCGTGGACCCCAACCAGGTAGTCTATACCTACCAACATGGCTCAGTTCACTTGTCGGTGACTTCATGTTTTTGTGCCATGTTCTGGTTTGACCGTCCATAGCTTTCTTCCAACCTACTCCTACACCATAAAACATCGCACGTCGTGGCAGTCGGTGGTTGGTATAAATACTGATAGACTATATCTACTTAGCGATAGAAAACTGAAAGCAAAAGTAGTGTCGGTTATAGTAAAAAACTATGAGTATACTGAAAATAGTTAAGAAAGTACAAATAAGTTAACGGATTAAAGAAATGAAGTAATAAGTAAATTCAAGAATAAATGAACTTGACTACACATATACTGATGCAGTCAATTTTTAGACATGGCACCGAATGGCTCCAACTTAGAAGTTTGAGGTCCAGTTCAGAGCTCAGAATAACATTGAATGACTTTATGAACTGATGTTGCCGGTTTGACCGTTATTAACTGTCGATAGCCTCCATTACGTATCAGAATTGGGAGTGGCTGGACATGCGTAACATGTATGAAAATGACCCCGTTAACAGATTTTTCTTTGTTTCATTAAACAAAAGCAGCGTTTTGGAAATATCTGTTGTGAAAATTAGTTACCTACGTGTGCTCTTTGCCTTCAAAACCCATATTTAACATCCAAAACGTTCAAAGTGAACTACACTACACTGGCCATTTAGTCGTAATGACTACTAACTGATAACCACCGTTGTTTATGGCTTATATGACCAAACTCAGTCAACAAAGTTATATAACACAGTCAGTATTTCAAATAAATGGATTTTTGACGCAACGTTGTGTTCAGTAAAGTTGCTAGCCATTTGCCGACCGGTTAATACCTTGTTGGGATAACTCTCTATCTCAACTTCTTTGTTAATCTATTCAGACGCGGATTTCAGATTGTAACTTCGAAAGTAGTATTAAGCTCTTCATTTCAAAATAAATGTTACTTCATGTATAAGTTCGACGGCCCATTAATACCCCTTGATCTACTCGTTATACATAGTTTTCGTTGTGAAGTGATAATACCAATTAATTCAAACCATTTTTCGTTTATATTTCTAGTCAGTGTAAATCAGATCCAATAGTAACCAATGGAGATAGTCATTTAACAGAATCTTCGATTATTGAGGTCACCAACCCATTTCAGGTGGAAGATGAAGGTTTCGTTGAAGAGTTAGTGGACTATGCAACTAACCATCATCTTGTTTCTTATTCTTTTCCCACGAATACGTCAAATATTCTGTCCTCTGGTTCTACTCAGCACTCAGTTCAATCTAAACCTACTTACGAATCACGAATAATTAATCCCACATGTCCGCTCAACTCCACAAAAGATCAAATGGTTGCATTAGGGTTGAATCACTCTATGTCCGATGCTTTAAAATTTCAAACAAATCCTATTAATGTAAGTAAATCATCTGCATCATTTTTGGTCACATGAGCTACTTAATTCAACGGTAAATATTCACTAGATTTTCTTAGTTAATTCATTTTCAACCGATATTTGGATATAGAATTGGGAAATCACGTCCCTATGGAGTTTCGTCTACTAAATAACCTTGAAAAATGATTTTAAGTTCAAAATGCTGTATCGAATGACAATTTGTGACACACAACAGTTACGGTTGTTGTTAACCGTTGCTTTCTATAAAGCTCCTGTTTTTTGTAATATTGTGTTATACAACCGTGCTACCTACTTTGTTACCGTATATTGTTATGATGTCAGTACTTGTAGTTTGTTCCAATTTAATTTGTTTGTCTGTTTATCGTATGAAGCTTCAAGGTACTAGCTTAATTCGTATCCACATTCCGGTTTAAGATGTGTCCTTCATCACTGATAATAAAATACACAGCATTCATAATTATCGAATGATTTATATGCACTCAAAGTTTATGAAAAGTCCTTTAATTCGATTTGCATAAATAAACTGACCATCTCTGGACTTAATATTAGGAGATGGAGTTACCCAAAATCTTTCGTAGAATGTTACTTCTGGAAGTTAAAAACGACTTGGAATGACTAAATTGTAGAATGCAGAATGTAATTCAAAGTCGTTATTACTTTAATTAACAGAAACCGGTACATTGAACACGATTTATTATGAAATTTATGAAAAAATTCTAATTGTATTTAAACTATTATCATACACTTGGTTCGTTATTAATAAGTAATCGATTTTATAAATCTTATCAAATATAGATATTATTTTCATTTTTTACTCCTATCTATAGTCAAGAATCCCTAATATTTTTTGGTTTTATGTGTACACTTATAGGTATCAACATATTTGTTTTCTAACAAAATAACTGAAATGTTATGGAAAATTCCAACAGTATCGCTTCTTTATGATGGAACATATATCCATGCGACAACAGTTATACTTTACAAAATAGTATCACGAGAACTATGGAAAATGAGGTAGTAAACATACTGAAGTCGAAAATTCGATTCGCTAGATTCCGACTGATTAATCTTAGTTTCTATCGCATGTGGACTCGTGAATACAGATGATTTTTCACTGGCTGATGAAAAATATCTGTGTATGAATTTTCAGTTTCAAACAACATATCTAAATATAAACGTAATTAAATGGGATCAACCTTCAACCGAAATATATATTTTTGTATATTTTGCGGGTTTGTTCACCCATTTACCAAGTACTTGCTCGTATAATTGCTTTCGAGGTAAACGATAAGTGTAAGGACTAGTGATATTATCCGAGTGCCCAGACTGAAGCAGGGGATGAGCAGAATTCGAACTGGTGACTTAGTGGCTGAAAAGCTCTCCACTATCTCACGAGTTCCTATAGATCCATCTGCTCATTATCCAGTATGTATATAATTTGCGAACAATTGTTTTAGATAATACCGCCAAATTGTAATGCTTTAAGGTCCAGTATCTTCGTGTTAACTAACTCAAATTCGAACTCTCGAGAACTGTCAGTAGTGTAAAATATTTCTAAAGTAATGGTTAGGTATTATTTGGTTACAATAGTCACTTACATAAGTGTGGAAGGTTGCTCTAAAATTATTCTTATTATACTAAGAATTTCGAGCCGAATATACTGAAAATAACAAAAGTCCAGATCCTTTCGAAAACTATTCCCATTTGTTACATTCCTGAAAATATATTTACTTATATTTTTTTGTTTCAGTGCTCTGTTAAAGAAAAGACACTAAGAAATGTGCGACTAACTAATACAGAACAACATGCTCGAAGTATGAGTCCATCTAATCCTACTGACACATATCTATCTTTAAAAGATACAAATGATCTTATCGACGAAGATGATTTGGAGGGTACAGATCTACTTCATTTAATCAGCAATTCATTGGATCGATTTAATGCTATTGTTCACCCACGAGATAATATATCAACATTAACATCTGGTTTAGGTGAATCTAGAAATATTTTATCAGAATCTGAGAGTAGTAATAGATACTCTCAAGATTGTCTATTTCCCACTGATATTGTTACAAAACCTACTACATTATTATCTACAGATAGAGTGAGTTTCTGTAATTTATTTATGATTGGTATTACTATGATTATGAGTATAGTTGTCCATCGTCAACTTGTTCCTTGACAGTATAGTGTAGAAACTGCATTCACCAATCATCAATTCACATCATCATGGTATTCTGACTTCTGTCACCATAGTGTATTTCATCACAAGACCTCGTGTAATTAAAGTATGACTAGAAGCAAAGCAAATTAACGTGGTTATATATATATATATATATATATATATATATATATATATATATATATATACTATATTAGTTTGACTCCTGAAGTAAGGAGCGTAGGGAATTATAAAACAAGAGAACAATAACGACCCCATTGGTGTAAGGTAGTGTAATAGTAGTAATAATGAGGGAAACGAAAAGGTACATTCAGAAGAAATCTTTCAGTTAAGGAAGATACAACCACTTTTTATGAAGAAAGTAAAAGAAGGTTACAGCAGGATCTCCACTGGCTTCTATTCTGAGCCATATCTGATAACGTTTCTAGCCACTGTGTTACACCATCTCTCGGACCCCAGCCAGGGAGTCGTAAAAGACCAACACAAGCCAGTCCTTTGCAGCTTTATTCCATACCACGACACCATGTCATACACTGACCACCTCTCCGCTTTTTCCAACCAGTCCCGGAGTCGACGGTGTTGCCACTGGAAATCAGCAATCCTTCGGAGACAACGACGATCGAACACAGAGAGTCGTCTAACATCCTCAACTCGGAGAGGCCAGATTTCACAAGCATAGAGCAAAACTGCTCTCACCGACGCGTTGTAGATCCGATCTTTTACAGCCAGACTAACATCACGAAGGCGCCAAAAGTGGCCCAGATTGGCATAAGCCGCTCTGGCTTTCACTATACGTGCATTGATCTCATCACTCACGCTACCACGACCACTTATGCAGCTACCTAGATACACGAACTTCTCGACCACTTCTATCTGCTCACCATCCAGGGTGAGTACAGGATTAGAATCCTGCCAGTCTTGTAGGAGTACTTTGCACTTCGAAGGTGCGAAGCACATACCATACCTACGGACATTGATTGCCAACTGATTAAGTGCGGATTGCATGGCTTGGGCATTCTCGCACAGTAAGACAATATCATGCGCATACTCAAGGTCGAGAAGTCTTTCCCCAGGCAACAGATCCACACAACCATTACTTACATCCATCAGAGCCGTTTCCAGAATGTCATCGATGGCAAAGTTGAAGAGGAATGGTGATATTGGGCAACCCGTTATCTGTCTTTTGACCCCATGTGCCACCTAAACGACTCTTATCTGTGCCTAGACGCCGAACGCGCTTTCTGGAGAAGAACAGATAACTGATGGTAGAACTTTTCCTTGATTGCACCCGGGCTGCCATCTGTCGGGGCATAGGTGGAGATGACGAAAAGACATCGTTTCTCACGCCGATTTCTTCTCACTTTGATGGTACTTTCAAATCTAACAGCTCATAACCGACTGTTATTGGGGATCCAATCGATTAGTGCTGCCTCAGCTCTAGCGCTTAGTGCGACACCAACGCCAGCAAGACCAGACGAACATGCCACAGGGTCCCCGGATAAACGCACGTAAGCAAGCTTTTTGAAGTGACAGATGGAGAGCGAATTTGTAGTACTTCACCAGAGTCTTGAATACGGGTCTCGGATAGACAACACACATCAATATTAAGACTTTCCAAAGACATAGCCAGCCCTATCTGTTGTCCGACCTGCATAAGTGTGCGAACGTTGAAGGCAGCCAGTTTGAATGGTGCACGTGGTTTCAGAAAAACTGCTTCTTTACTCGTATTCGGTGGTAACATACAATTTTCAACCAGGCAGTGACTCGAGAACGCTTAGATAGAGCCGAATTTCCACCATAGGCGAGCTGCTGTATAAGTCGAAAAATAAGGATAGACAGAGTGAGAATGAGAGTGAATAAGTGACGTGGTAAATAATAATAATAAGAATAATAATAATTGAATTGTTTGACAGTAAATCGCAGCGAGAATAGAGTTTTCAGTAAATATCATCATTTTCATTATCATTATATTTGTGTGTAGGCTGAGATACTGCCCGGGTGCCCAGACCGAAGCAGGTGGTTTTCTTAGAGGGCCACACCCCGAGCCTTCGACCTGAACGTCTGACCCACAAGGTAGTGCAGCATCGTAAGGAGATGCAGTCCCATGGTAGCCGGTGACCAACGATTGGTTCATACGCCATTTGTTCCCGCAGGATACTGGAGCCCATGTGCACCATTGATTTGGGATCCGGGTACAGCTTTGGACATTCGCTTTTCGTTCTCTCATTTTCGTGAACAACACCCCCACCACGAGAAGGCAATGAGTAGAACTTCCCTGGTAGAGGCTATATACGCGTGGCTGTGTAAGAGTATTTCGAGAGGGAGGCGAACTCTCCCCACTCTCGGCCATACCAGGGCATTTGGGGGCTCTCCTGTCAGTGCTAAAATAGGGAGATCCTCACTCTCTTATTCCTGCTACTACGAATCGGTTATAAACAGTCGATCAGGGGTCTCCAACCAACTTTTACCTGAGCTCTCCTTGGTTTTTGCGATCTCTTGTTCCTATACTTCAGTTCACGGCACCATGTATTGTTTGATTTGCCTCTTTTCTTTTGACCTCGGAACTTCCAAATTAAGTGTTACTTTGCGATGATTTCCTCAAATGTGCCCTATCCATCTCCAGCGTATTTTCCTAATTTCCTCTTCAACTGGGAGCTGGTTTGTTCTCTAACATTATCGGTGATTTCTGATCGTTTGTGGCGAATGAACCCGGAATACCTCGCGTAGACAGTTGTTTTTAAATATCCATACATTTTGGTTATGGTTGTAGTAGTTCTACACGTTGCAGATTTATGCAGTAGAACTGTTTCAAGGTTAGTGTTGAAAATTGTGACTTTATTGTTGTTTAACAGCTCTTTTGAATCCATGTATTCCACAATTGTAGAAATGCTGACTTTGGTTTGCTAACTCTCATTATGGGATTTGCATACGATCCTTGTTTATCCCTGATGTCTCCCAGTTACATAAAGGCATTCATCTCCCCCACAACTTCACGATTAAGTGGTTCTTTAAATCTCATTGGTGGTATTCCCTGCGTTTACGGGACATTTTCTTCCTCATGGTCGGGCTACAAGTTCCCCCCCTTTTGTCTAATGAGTTTCACGTATCCCAAGTAAAGGCAGATTGTATCGTCTCCATTTTGTGGTTATTCTAATGACTCTCCCGGTCTTCCATATTGTCCGAACGTTTTGCATACCTATATTAATTGTTGCTCTGGTTGACAGAGGGGTTATAGACCTCTTGATTTCCAAACAATCTCGGTTCTCACCATAAGGCGAGATAAATTTTGTATACGAACACTTTTCAACATCTAAGACAGATTTTAAATACTTGGATTTATTTTTTTCTGGTTGGCGTGTTTTTAACGAGTTTCCGTGTTACGAGGCGGGGTCGCTAACTCTACACTTAAGCCTCCTACTTTTCACGGACTTGCAACAACTCTAGAGGACCCCGGGTAGAATTCTAGCCTAATTATAGGGAGCTAATTATATGTGCCTCAGGCAATTCGCTGTTTTGAAGTCCCATCTCATGGTAGGTTGTTGAATAACGAACTCTCAGTGGACATACAGAAGAATGTGCAATTTTTATCAACTTCATTTTTGGCGTAGACGAGATGTATGTCTACGTAAATGTAAATGCTTTATGCTAGTTTAAGACTTTGAACCTAACGAATGTGCAAAGAAATATAAATGAGGGGTATTAAACACCTTAGGTTAGCAAGAAACTTTTCCAATTTGATTACTGTTACTTCAACGTATGATACGTATAATGTGATGTAATTTCTATCACACTCATTTGTGATAACCAACTAGTCAATATTCGGTTGTTATTTAAAAACTTCGTTACTTTAAAAAGTGTATGATTTCAGTTATTGTGTATTTTCACTCAAGACAATCTGAGTTAATGTACTTACAAACTATCTTTTTCCTATGGTTATAAATAAGTTTAGACTTTTGATTAAAGAGATTCAACTCTACCTTCTATTATACAAAGAAGAAATCACATGATTTCATAGAATTTTGTAAACTGAATAAAATCTTTTATGGTATACATTTCACTCTTGTAATGTACTTACTCTCAATATGTTGAACTATTATCCGAAAGTTTTGTATTTTCAATACATTGTAAATCATACGTTTATTTTTCGTATTTTATCTATGTATTCTTTCAATTACCAATTTTTGTTTTGATATGACTAGATGAAAAGGTGACATATGAAGTCCATATTTTTTGAATCATAGAGTTTTTCTCATTGTTATTATATTTTACAGTTTAAAATGTATCTTACACAGTAAATTTCGTACTTGAAGATCATATTAACTCGTCAATCTTTTTTGCTTTTTAGTTTTTGTCAGTTTACAGTTAATGGAAAACCTGTTGTACTGTGCACATGTGAAAATTTTTCTGTTATCATCTTGTTAGCATAATTATCACTTTATACAATTGTGATTTTGAAAACTGCTTTATTCTTATTCTTTGTGTTGTTGACCTTATGTTTATCCATTCCTACCTTAATCTCTTTATCCATCTGGTAAACACAACACAGATGACCTTAATTGACCTAAATATTAAGGTCTTTGTTTAATTCCTATCTCCACTTCTCAACAATTTTTCTTTTCCTATCCTCTTCTGAAAATACATAAAATTTAGACCAGACTGAATTTGTAATCATTTTAATGGAAAATGTATTTATCTATAGGTAATATGTATATCTATGTGTGTGAATTAAACTTATTTTAGCTTTGTTTTAAAGGTTAACTAGTCTTTGTCAATTTTATTTCATTGTTCCACTTTAAATCCTAGTAAAAAAAATGGATGAAATAAACTGTTCTACAATATTACTCTTGTCTATTTATATTCTTTATTTTTCATGAACCGATTAGAGCTAGACCAACATTGAAAACCTGGAAGTACTGGGTGGCCGTCTCCTCCTAGTATAGGACTACTCAGTAGTGCGCATCCACATTCCCAGGACTTTTGGTCTCCCACGCAAACGCTTAACTTCTAGACCACTGGGCTGACACCCAACAGTGTTAATGTCTAACTTCAATCAATCAATGGTCTTGCGCAATATGGGGTTGTGGAGATTGTTGAGTTTTTGGTTGGGATCATAAGTCGATCAATGTTAGACCACCAATGAAAACTTGGAAGCAGGACTCATGAATTCAATTATTAAAGTGACTAAAATCTTCACGAATTCCCATTGTTTTTTCTACAAAAAAAGATGACTCCATGTAATATCGTTTGCTATTTCTCATGCTCTTTATTCTAGGAATATAAATTCTCGAATATGATGAATATAGGCAATAAATTAGTCCAGAAACACTTTAATCATTCATCGTTGTTAATTTTGGATTCTGAAGTAGAACAAACTGGTGAAATTTTGGAAGTAAATAATTCTTCATATACGACTACTACAACAAGGTAATCTAATTAGGTGATTTATTTCGTCATGAGAATTAATGGTGATATATTATTGAATGTTGATTGTTCATTTCCTTTAATGTATGTAATTTTTCTGTATTCGTATGATTTATTTTTAGAATATAATGTTTTCTATAATCTTATTAAAACTTTTAATATGAATCATTAAGAGATAATTTCCCGTTGGATGTTAAGTCCCAGATATTGTTTTCGCGTAACCAATATAAGCCATTTCTACATTCTGATGTTTCATATTAACTTTTTCAACGCTTATTATAAATTAACTATTCAATAAAGTGTACTTCTCACTTTCAATTAACTTTATGTCTTAGTCCAATACTTTTGTAAGTTCATTTCTAATTTGTATCCCTCTAAACTTTGTTATAGGCAAAGTTTTATGTTGAATAGATTTTTGATACTGCCATCATCGTACTCGTTACAATTACACATCATCATTTACTTTATTTGCACTTCTTGTCTTAACCTCTTCATCTAACCTCAACACTGTCCATTTATTGGTCTTGTCCAGTCTTTTACCCATTATTAGGTGTTATCATTTTTGATAATGTTCACTGATCAGTCGAATATTTTAATACTAAAATTTTCTTTGTTATTCTGAATAACATTAAAGTACATTTCAAATAAATAGGCATAGTTGTTACACTGTATTAGTTTAAATTGCATAAAACAGGAAATACCTTATTATGATTTTGATCTTTCATCATTCGCTTATTTACGAGTGCTACACAAAATGCTTGAAAGAGATAAAGAAATAACAATTGATTCACTTCATTTTCTCGTTACTCACTTGTCTTATTATTGCGTAATCACTAGGATTAACAAGAGAGCTTGTGTTTTTGCTGTCAGACCATATGTTTCCAATCGTTACGAATTTTTGCTCGATCTTTTTTAGTTATTACTATTAATTCATTTTGTATCTTCCCATTAATGTTTAGGACCGCAATGGATTAGTCTTTTATTGACATGTGTGCATCCTGTGTGGATCGCCTCGATATTGCCTTAAGTCACAAGCATTGTAAGCAAAGATGCATAGTGGCTAGCAGTGGGATCTAGGACACGCATTTCGTCCTATTTAGGACTCATCAGCTGGACGTACCTGCATCCCAGAATTGGTGTTCACCCTGGAACTCGAATCTACTTAGCTACTGAGTGCTGATAACTTATTTCTACCAACATTTTATTCTGTCATTTGTTGATTATTCATTTTGTATGGACTCAGTTGTTCCTAACTTTTATTGATGATATTGCTATTCGTAATAAGTACTTTCATTAAGTTCAATTGTGTGCTATGCTTAGTTTTGAGACACACTTTCATGTGTGGTCACTAGTACTACTACTTGATTGTCCTGATAAAATTTGATAAAAGGATGACTTAGTCGTTAAATCACTAAAACCATGAACGCTAGGTTTGTGTTCGACTCCCCCCTCTTTACTTGCTTCATTTTAAATAACTCACTCAAAATATTGTGACTAAAAGTCAAGTAAGTATACAATTGATAAATAATTTAACATTGCATTTCATTCTTTATTTTCGAATTATCTGATTGATGACGTACGTATGTATCGGTATTTTGGTTTAGAATTTGTCGTTAATTTATGCATACAAAAGTAACAAATGTTGTTTGTTATAACTAGAAAATATCAAAGTAAATGAATTTGAGTTGATTATTTCTTGAAAACAAACTAGACGAACCAAAAAGTATCAAGGGAAGTAGTGTTATCATATCTGAAATAAAATTATCGATGAGTATATCAACAATGATTTTAATTTGTCGAAAAATTTAGGAGGAAGACATAATAGTAATATCACTGGTTTTTGCTTGAGAAAGATTCCTAATAATAATGCACTAACATTAAATGTGTAACCAATTTATGGTATTTGTACGAACTAGTGATTCGTTTATACTCGATTGCCCGGTGATTACGAATTCTAAATATAATATGTTCATTTGTGCTCATCTAGTTCTTCCTCCTGGTCAGTACATTAATTCGAATACTTCTAATTATCATGCAATTGTCGGATTCTTCATTTAATCAACTTTGCATAAAAGAATTTCAGTTAAATTTTTTTTAAAGTATTCTGTAAACCGTTGAATAATGATTAATATGAACAGTAGTTAGATATAAAATGTATGATTTTTTCACTGTGACGGTCAAACGGATATCTTTTGTAGCCTCACAATCATTGATTGTATACAATTCTGCGGATAACTTTGATTGGTCAGATATCCCAATGGACATCGTCTAAAAACTCTGTAGTCTTCTTTCGTGCTCTAATGACCATTAGTTCTTTTAAAGTTGTTCGGACCATATTTTTGAGTATATGTTTTAGCCTGAAGGCGTAATATCAGATCTTTATTTTTCATGTAGGGATCTTCTCGATTCGATCAAAACTCATGATCATGGTTGTTTACTTAAAAAATAACTCAATTTATTCAATTTAGATGGTGTAAGTAAGGTGCCTAAAATAATAACTTTTATGCGTATAGATATGTGTCTACCATTATATAATGAATTATTTTGTCTTTTTTGTTTTCTTGTCTCTAGTTGTTCATCTTTGGGGCGTTTACCGATATCATTATCGTACTCATACTCAAATGAGGTAAGAGAAATAAACAAAAGCATTAATGTCTGTATTATTTCAGCATTCTCCCCCCTAGTTGTGTAAAATTCGTTTCTTATGTATACACACGATTTATCAATAAATTCCTAAGATTAAACATTAAACAATTTAATAAATTATGATATGGTATATATCACAAATGTTTTTTCCTACAGGTCCCTATAGCATCTTGTCAACCGAACACGACATACTATTCCAATATTCCATCAAATATACCAATCGATGTTACTGCTCCCGCTGTCACTAAATATATTGTGCCACCAACCGATTCTATACAAGTTAAAAACGTTCTTACGGATAAGTCAAAATCATGTTGGCCAACTTTACCTGTTAGTGTAACTCAACATAATCCAAAAATGTTAACTTCATCCACAGAATCAAACAATTTACTGGTTGAATTAATTAACAATAACCGAAATGTGTTAACTGATAATGATATAGAAATGTTAAATTATTTAAATTCGGATTTAAAAAATCTTTTATGTAATGTTTCATCTACTAATACAACTGCTGTTTATACAACTTTAGTTGATTCACCTTCTCTTCATAGTAGTGTTAATAATAACAATTGTAACTCAATGAGTTTATTTGGTAATCGAGATGAAAATCTATGGAATCATAGTAAATCATTTCAATCCAATATGTCGTTAATGCATAAGACACAACTACTAAGACATCTATCTCAGTCACCTCAAACAACAAGTCTACCGCCATTATCGAAAATATTTCTTCAGCATTCTAATACTGTGTCATCAACTCCCGTAGATGTAATGAAATATGAATGTTTAAACAGTGATTCAGATAAATTACTAATGAATTCATCTGATAAAATGATATTTAATGCAAAATGTATTAATAACGCAAATAACAAACGTAATGATAATTTTATCGCATCGTTCTCATTAACGTCAGTAAATAATTCTACTGGATGGTCGACAGGTACGAGTTTATTTTTTTAATAATGTATGTTTTCCTTGTGCAATTTTTATTTATTATATAATGAAAGTTAATTTATTGACATGGACTGTCAAATAATTCATAAGTTCATTGCATTTGAATGGATATCTATCCCGAACTAAGTAATAAAATAAGCGTTCTCGTAGAAGGTTCTAAAGTAAAAATACTATTTATTGGTTATTTAAACCGAAGCAGGTGAGCTGATGTCGGATTTCATGATGCAATAGTGCCTTTTTACAACAATCAACTGGCTTTCTAAACACTGATTCAACTGCACGATAAACGGGACGTTCGAGGTTTAAAAAACTGGATGTTACAATTTGGAGTCTAATACTACAATCCATCAATACGAATTTTTTAATCTTTAATGTGACAGCGAAAGCGAGTCGATATGAGGAACTATATTGACTGTGTAAGGCAAGTGATTGAGTTATCAAAATTAATGCATCTGTATAGGTTTTTCCGACTGGCTTATCATCGTAGAATATTACTGCATTATAGAGGTATAGACATACAAGCAGCTGTGGAAACAGCAGTGACATCTACTAGTGATTTAAACCACAGGGTTACAAAGAACCAATGGATTTCTTCAAGGTCTATTGCACTGATGGATTCTCGCAAACACATCCCATCAGGTTCTGAACTCGATGAAGAGCGTAAAGAAATCAGATCTAGGTTAAGCAAAAGTCTAAGGAACGACCGTGAGCAGTGGTGGGCAACGAAAGCAAGAGATGGAAAAGGCGGCGGCTATAGGGAACACAAGACAACTCTACAGACTAATAAAAGAAACTGGAATTAATAAGTCAAGTGTAAGTCAGACCATTTCGGAAAAAGACGACACTCTCATCTGCTCCCAGTCCAAGCGTTCAGAAGGATGGGCGGAACATTTTAGAGAACAATTCAGCTGGCCTTCAGCTACTCTACAACTACCCTCTATTCCCAGACAGTATGAATGGAACATTGAAGTAGGTCCCCCAACTCTAGCTGAAGTTCAGAAGGCTATAGCTAATCTGAAACGAGGAAGGGCAGCTGGTCCAGATGGATTGGCCCCAGAGGTCTTTAAGGATGGTGGTCTAGTCTTAGCGATTAGGTTGACTAATATTTTAGCTAAAATCTGGGAGTTAGACGTCATCCCATCTAACTGATCACAATCATTTATAGTCCCAATATATATGAAAGGGTCAAAATCATCCTGTGACAACCACAGAGGGATTAGTTTAACTAATATAATATCTAAAATACTAGCTTCGATAATTTTCGGACGCCTAACTAAGACTCGCGAACTGCAAACACGTGAAAATCAGGCTGGCTTCAGACCTGGTCGTGGTTGCATCGACCACATATTCACCATTCGGCGTCCGACAATAGTGGTCTTCCTTGAATTAAAAGCAGCGTTTGACTCTGTTGACCGAGAGGTTCTGTGGCAGTGTCTGTCATTGAAAGACGTACCTCAGAAGTACATAAACCTTGTGAAGGCTCTTTACTCGAACACTACTAGTCGAGTGAGAGCTTATGGCGAACTGTCATCTGCTTTTGCAACCTCAAGTGGCGTCCGTCAAGGCTATCCACTTTCTCCATTTTTGGGGTCCGCGTGACTATCGTATTCAATGGTTGGAGACTGTTGGTGACATGGCTCAGAATCGATCACAATGGCGTCGGTGTATACACTCTCTGTCTTCCTTTAAACTAAGAGATTAAAATCACTTCAAATCTTTCTTTCTAGGAACTAATTCTATCTTCCTGTACTATCTCCTTATACACAATCTTTCTTCGATATATTACCACCACTGAATTAACTACTTCTATGAATCCGGTGTTCATCTTGTTGTGCTAATGCGGTATGGCAACTTGGACCGATGCATATACGTGCCTGGTCCTACGTTGCAGCTGACTGACTGAGAGGTATAGTGATTACATCAATTGTGACTCAAAGTAATAAACCATTCTTAAAATCCCCCTACTCATTAAACTACACCATTCAACCATCTATGACCAACGATTGGTTCATACGCCATTTGTTCCTTCAGGATACTGGGGCCCATTTGCACCATTGATTTGGGATCCGGTTAAAGCGCTGGACATTCGCACTTCGTCCTTTCATTTTCGTAAACAACCCCGCCACGAGAAGGCAGTGAGTAGGACTTCCCCGGCAGAGGCTATATACGCGTGGCCATGTGAAAGCATTTCGAGAGGGAGAGCGAACTCTCCCCACTCTCGGCCATACCAGGGCATTTGGGGGCACTCAAGATCTATGAGTAGAGTGATTTTGAGCCATACCATTGAATTTCTCAAACCATTACAACTAATGAGCATAATCTTGCTCATTACACGTTAAATACTGTTACACTGGTCATTTTTAAAAATTTCTTTCAGAAGCAATTAATAGCTTGCCATGCGACACAAGAAATATATTAGCACGATCGCATTCAGTTGGATATCATCAAGATACTTCTGTTAATAAATCATTATCTACAATAGGACCAGGAGTAACAATGACAACATCATGCTCTATCAATCGTACACCGATTATTAACGTGAATTATCCATTTACAAGTGGAAATTTAAATACGAACTACTTACCTATTATTGGACATTCTACATCTACATCTGGTAAAAATAAAATGACTTCTGGAAGTTTACCACTACAAATGTGTACTACTAATTCTACTGTGAAAAATTTAAATGGATCACAACAACAGGAGGTTTGTTATTTCCTTGATTTGTTTTTCCATTATAAAATCCAAATCGATTATTTCTGTTTTTCATCTTATTGTTGTCAGAATACCTTTGTCTTTTCAGGGATCAATTATAACCCAGTTTTGTTTATCTTCGTGAAATTCGTCTTAACACTTATTTTTGATGAAAAGTGCATTAGTTATTGGTCATTAGAGTAAGCTAGGTTACGTAAGATTCAAGGTATCACCTTGCTATGGTCATTCCCAACTATCATGAAACCAGAGTTTACCTTCTGTCTATTTTCAACCAGCTAGCATCAAAATAAAGTGTACACGATATCGAGCCGATTAGTCTGGTGATCGCACTACAAATTGATTGATAGAATTCCATAGGTACTAAAGGACTAGATAGACAATATATGTTTATATGGCAGGCTCTATGTAGATGATAACTGACTATCATCGGATTCTTAAATCAAAGCTGTGAAGACTTGCTTATTTTTTTCTATAATTATCTCTGAAATATTAGATATTGTTTGTTGGATTTTTCGTATCGAAATGAATTGATCAAATATCAGAATTTTAATGTGACACCACCTATCATCAAGTATGTTTATGTTTATATTTTTACCACACCATGACAACATGTGCTTCTTGGATTATTATTGCATGTTACAAATAAGCGATTCACATGATAAATCGTATGACTATTGTTACTTAGAAAAAAAAGAATGAATAAACTAGACTGTACTATTCAGTAATTCATGATTTATATCATGCAGTGAATTCCAATGATATTTTTTATATGGAAATGTGGCATTTGATTAATTATGGGAAAATAACTCAACTAAATGAAGTCTATTGATACTGAGACAAACTATTTTATTACTGAAGCATAATCAAGATAAATTTGGTAAATGATTTTTAATAAGATCAACTTCTAGCTTTTCCGCTTAATTGACTTTTATTAATTGTGATATGTTTGTCCACTTTTATAAAGGTGTAATTCTGTGTGTAGACTGTTATTTTCTTGTCAAGTGTGTTTGATTCGCGGAAATTTCTTTATTGAGCATTTTGTTCTAAAAATTTATTCATTTATTCCTGATTCGAATGGAATAATGAATGCTGAACATTTGAATAAATGTAATTTTCTATCTTTACTCACTTTTGTCCGTCTGCCATTCGAAAATCATTTGAATAATAGGAAGTAAATTACTCCTTTGTTCTGCATTAAGTTATTTCCACAAAACCTCTTTCTATATCACTTTCAGAACTGTCAAGTTTTATGGTAAGTGACATGGAACTTCGCTGATCAATAGGTCTTGTAGTTGTTTTTAACAGATAGACGGATACTGTTAAGAAACGAATATTTATGTCAACATTGGAATTATAAAATAAGATCACCAAGTTGCTTTGGAAAGTTTCATCCTTTCGTTGTTACCTAACTATCTATCTAATCCAGTTAACCACCAGAAGAAAGAGAAAGCTGGGAGAAACAGTAAACAGCCTCGTCTGACTCCGATCATCATTTGGAATGCATCTGTCTGCATACGATCCACCACGTTCATCGATGATGCTGCCCAGGTTGTCTTCACCTGGCTATGTTCGTGTGCATGGGATAGAAGTGCCAGATCATTTGCGAAGTCCAAATCGTCTAGTTTCATGCACGTTATCCCTTGTATTTCATGCTTCCCTTCAGATGTCGTGGTTCTCATAATCCAGTCAACCACCAGAAGAAAGAGAAAGCTGGGAGAAACAGCAAACAGCCTCGTCTGACTCCGATCATCATTTGGAATGCATCTGTCGGCCACCCTCCATGCACGAATTTGCAGTGTAGTCCGTCGTATAAGTTTCAGATGATGTTGACGATCTTCTCATGCACTCACTCCATAGTGTCGAAGAAGTTTCCGCAATATTCTTCTATTCACACTGTCAAATGTTTCCTCATAGTCAGTGAAGTTGATGTATAGTGACGAGTCCCATACAAATGATTGATTGACTCGGCCTGTACACGATCGATCCATAGGGAATCCAACTTGTTAATCACAGAGCTGGACGTCTACTGAATCTTTTATCCGGCTCAGCAACACTGTGTTGAAAACTTTTCTTGGTATCGATAGTAGTGTGATGCCTGTAAAGTTCTCACATTTGCTCAGATCTCGTTTCTTTGGTAGTCAGTGAAGTTGATGTGCAGTGACCAGTTCCATTTAATTGATTGTTCAACGATGATCCGTAGTGTCGCGATTTGGTCTGTACACGACCGATACATACGGAATCCGACTTGTTGATCTGGAAACTGGCCGTCTAGTGAACCATTTATTCAGTTGAGCAACACTCTGTTGTATGCCTTTTCTGTTACCGGTAGTAGTGTTATGAGATGGTGGAGAGGATTTGAAGCTGAGGTGGATGATTTTGATGGAGTTTTGTTGTCTGAGCTCAGAGAACAAAACTTCATCTAATAGTGGTGTTATGCTTCTGTAGTCTTCACATTTGCTCAGATTTCGTTTCTTTGGTATCTTGTTGAGATATACTTCTTACCAGTCTTTCGATACTTTTTCCTTCTCTCAAATCTTCCTGAATAGAATGTGAAGCATACTTGTAGTTACTTCTATGTGTGACTTCAATGCATCGGCTGATATGTTGTCAGTTCCTGCTGATTTCTCACTCTTGATTTGTCTGATGGCCATCCTGATTTCTTCGACCGTTTGTGGAGTGACATTCATACGAAGGTCTGTGTGTGCTGCTTCTTTGTCTGGTAGGTTCAGTGGAGCTGGCCTATTCAAGAGTTCCTCAAAGTGTTCTGCCCATCTGTCCCTCTGTCCTTGAATTTCAGTGATTGTCTTGCCTTCTTTATCCTTGACCGGTCTCTCTGGTTTACTATATTTTCCTGCCAGTTTCTTCGTTGCATCATAAAGTTGTCTGATATTCCCTTCTCTTGAAGCGTTTTCTGCTTGTCAGTTCTAATACTCTTCTTCACTCGTTTGTTTGCTTCTGTGTATTCAGCTTGTTCCTTGACTTTCTCTGTTCTTGCTCGTCTGTTGTTAATTGCTATCTTCTCGTTCTTCCTTCCTTGAATCGTGCCCAGGATTTCCATATAGACTCATTCTTCATGATGATGCTAGTTGCGGCCCAGCACACCCTGACACGTTGAAGTTAGTACTCCTCTATTTATTTCCTAATTGTCCTCCATCGTAGTTTCCTCTTATTTCAGTAGATCCTGTAAGGCCTGGTACCTGTTGATGAGAGTTATATCGAATTGGTTGAGTTTGTCAGTATGTCGAAGAGAGTCTGTATTGAACCCTTGTGATACTGTTTGTCCAGTTGTCCAGTGCTTCTTTCGCTTCGGTTTCATCTTTGCAACCGGCAGCTTGTGGTGATCTGAATCTACGTCAGCTCCTCTTCTGGTTCTGATGTCTTCCATCGACCATGTGAATCTTTTACTAATGCAAATATGATCTATCTGGTTCTGTGTAGTGTGATCCATTGAGACCCATGTAGCGGTAGTTCGTTCTGGTTTACTTTACGGCTGCGAAACATAGCCATTACGGGTAGCGAATACATGTGAGTTACTAGTTGATATGATGGAAATAAAAGTCAAGATTCGATTGATTTACTCATTATGAGTTTTATTCAACATTACGATTTCAGCCTCGTATATAACTGATCTTTGTCGTCGTTGCTTTCATTGGTGGGTGCATAATGTTCGATAACATTCATTGTGATTCCCCCTTCTTTGTTTTGAAGGATGGTTTGAGGATTCTGGATCCGTAATATACCCACCCAATAAATGTATTTCGTGCTTTGGACAGCACCAGAGCAACTCCATGAGTGTGTGAAGCATTTTCTTCTTCGTGATTTAAATACAGCAGCGTCTTTTCTGAATCCGTTCTTTTGTGTCCAGCTTATCTCTAATGTGTTTTACTGATTTCCAGCCCCCCCCCCAAGTTGTATCTCGGCATTTCCTTTGCTATTATGTTGATCTTTCCGGTCTCCCACATTGTCAGAACATTATATATACCTATATCAATTGTTGCTCTGGTTGTTATAAGAGGCACCGACCTCTTGGCTTCCGAGAAATCTCGGCTTTCCCCATGAGGCGTCATAATTCTTCTGAATGAAGATCCTTCAACCCTGAGATCAGAGTTTAGATGGTTTAATTTTTGTATTCTGGTTAGCATTTGTTAGCAATGTTGTAATCTACAGGATGAGGTTGCTGACCCCATTCCTTTATCCTATTGTAATACAGGCAGTAAGAGCTACAGGAGGGGTTAATCTGATGAATAAGTTACTCTTTAAATTTAGTCAATACAAAGAGAGATAAATATAGTTATTTATCGACCCCGTAATTTCCGCCAAACACATTTGTTCATATTTATTGAATGTATCTCGGTATTTGTATTCACTTATAAATGTGGATTAACTATTTGTTTGACTGTGATAATTAATTTAGTTTATAGGTAGTTTTCATCAATTGGTGACCTTAGTTTGGGTACAGTTAAAAGCTAGAGAACGCTGAATTGACCATTTTATCCTAGTATTTTGGCTCGACAGTACGCGTGAACAACCATCCATGGATCACTGAATGATCGTTGCATATCGTGAAATGATTGTAGATGAAAATAAGAACTATTGCGTGTTGACAAGACTTCGATGAGTGTCATTCATATCTTGTATTCAACTCCTGCCATCGTTTTGATTGATTATTGCTAAGATATTTCAAACTATGACGAAACACCTGTCCTATGTACCGGGTTTTGAGTGATGCATTGTCTGAAATCAGTTAATGACGTAGAATTGAAACAAGTGCTTTTACATCCACCTTCCTAAATATATTGTTATCTTGATATTTCTAAAATCTTAATAGTTGATTCATGAGTCAATCTAAGCTGAACCACCATTGGAAACATCGAGGCACTGCACGGCCGTTTAGTCCTAGTATGGAACTCATCAACAGTGCTCATCCACGATCACACATACGGCACACGAATACAGAAACTTCTGTCTCGCTCACGAACTCTTAACCGCTTGATCACTGAGCCGACTAACAATAGTCTTAATATCTAACTTCCATCGATACTGATACCAATCCTATGCTCACTAGTGACCAACTTCAAGATGGGTTACCTGAAGTTCGAGTGAGAAGCCGTGACTAGTCGAGTAAAATCCGTGTCCGGTGGAGACTGTTATCCACTTCAGATAATGGATGAAGGGTTGCGCAAGATCATGAATCCATTGAAGTTAGACATTAACACTGTTGGATACCGGCTCAGTGGTATAGGGGTCAAGCATTCGTGCGCGAGGTCGTCGTCGTCTTCATAGTGTTTTGGGGCTAATAATTCTTCACCTAAAGCATACGTGTGTTCTTACTTTCGCGTCGTGGGTATTATAATGGTCCCTTTCGTTCCGAGCATAAATGGTCAGCGATTCCGACATAACAATCAGCGACGGCCAGATACAAAAAGTAGCATTTGATTGACAAGTCATAACATTAGTATGAGATCGCGTACGGAGTTCCACGTTGTTTCTGACTGAGTATTGGATCACAGATGTCTTAGAAATATTGCTCGCATCTGCTGAGACCACCGGGTAAGTAATAGTGCGGTTAGACACAGGTTATTGGGAAATAATGCTAAATCACTTAATGAGTTTGTGAATGTACATCGTTTGAGATGTTTGGTTCACGTATTACGCATGCCTAATAACCGATTACCACAGTGCGCAATGTTTACTAGTGTTGGAGATTGATGGAAAAATGTTAGGGGCGGCCATACCAAAACGTCGCATCAGTCCATACATTCACTACATTCTGATCTGAGCCATGTTAATATGTATATACTCTTTGTCTGTCGTAAAACGGTGAGATTAAAAATCGCTTCATATCTTTCTTTCTATGAACTAATTCTTTCTGTATCATATCCTCATGTGCAATCTTTTTTTTATACATATTACTACCATTAAAGTAACTGCTTCTATTAATTTGGTGTTTTCTTGTTATGCTCATGAATTATGGCAACTTGGACCGATGCATATATGTACCTGGTTCTACGTTGTGGCTGACTGATTGAGGATAATGCAAAAAATGTAATCTTTTGAATTCACCTCAAGGTTTTCTTTGTTTCTTACTTATACAGATATAAAATGTTATTTTAGTGAAAACCGAATTATCGCAGGATATTCTTAATCTCAAGTGGTTAAACATATTTTTTAAGTTTCTGATATCCGGAATAAACAATCCTGCCCTCACAAATATATATTTATCTTATTAACATAGGGTATCGACCGCAAAGAGACAATAATTGTAACTTGTCTAACTTCTATGACTATATCTTTATTGAGATTATTCCAAATTTGTTTGATACATCATTTCTTAAAGATATTTACTTATTTATACTTTTGTAATTTTTACAGGGATTTTCCAATGCTCACTGCAGACGACAAAACAATAATAACAATATACCTTCGAACATTAGCAACATTTCAGTTTGTTCAGTGGGTACTTTGAATTCAGTAAAACAATCAGGTCCGAATTCCCAACTGTCATGTAACAAATCACGTTGTTGTACAAATGGTCAAATAGCACCTGGAGCAGTGACGACTATAACACCAGATTCATCATTATACCCAGGTACAGAATTAGTCAATGGAAAACCAGTTGTAGCTAAATGGCGTCGTGCATGCAGCTTCTACTTACGTGGACATTGTAAAAAAGAAGATTGTGAATTTGCACATGATTTAACAAAAGTGACTTGTAAATTCTGGGAGATGGGTGAGTGTTTCAAAGGATCCACCTGTCCATTTCTACACGGTTATCCACCAGAACTGAATATTGAGCAGCAGCATTCATAAGTAATAAACTGGAATATGCATGTGTGTACATGGGCAGCTTTTAATGTGTTCGTTTCCCTTTTTTCTACGTAACACTCACAATTTGATTGTTTTATTCCTTTTGTTTACTTTTACCAAAGAAGAAAGGCTTCATAAAGGAAAAGAAGTGAAAAAACAACATAATCCTTATTTAACTGCATTTTGTTTTTATCCTTGTTGTCTTTTAATATGTTAATTTATTTTGTTTTCTTATCGTACATATTTTATGTATGGTTTGAGCTGAAAGCCTTGTCTCCCTCCCTTCTTGTATTATTCTGAGATTATTCTACTGGGAGAAACGAAAAGAGAAAATTTTTACACTTTATTCACGTTCATTATTATTATTATTATTATTATTATTATTATTATTATTATTATTATCGCTATCGCCGTTATTATTACCGTTATCAACATTATTATTACGACCTTTATCTTTTTTTACTAGCAATAGTTTTCTCAAACTTCTAAACAAAAAACGTATATCAGTGGGTACTGTCTATCTTGTTTATTGATTTAACGAAAATTGGTTTATTTTATATCAACGCAGATATACTCACATGAATGGCACAACTTCTATAGTCTCTACTTTCAATTCCTCACTCACAAATTTGACTTTCGTTTATATATTTTTTCCACTCCGATTTTATTGTATTGGTTTATTCTTACTTTGATATTTTTCCTTTTTACTTGTTTACTTGTACTCGTGTGTGTCTAATGTTAAACATAGTTTCAGTTGACAAGATGCCTTCTTTTGCCGTTGTTTCTTCTCACTGTGAACGTTTTTAATTATTCTACTTGTTCTTTTTCTTTTACCATTTTCCTTTCTTTTCCCAAATCCTCACTCTCTAATAATGTATTAATATATTTTTGCAACTTATTAGTAGTATAATTGTTAACTTTAACTATTATAATATGGTTTGTTTATTTTTTTGATTCAGGTAGAATTCCACCGCCCGTTCAACAATTAAGGTGTTTCAGTGGTAGACAGAAAAGTGATATATAATTTCATAACTGTTGTTTTCTATTTTTTGTTTACGCCTCTTCCAACTTCTGATATAAACATGCGCATTCGTTCATCTGTTCTATTAAATACATTTATCTCCGTTTTATTTTCACTGTTAACAAAAAACGTATCGACATTACTGTAGTCTCCTTTTTTTCTTTTTGGTATACACTTGAGTCAAAATAGTAAAGAAAAAAGCATCAACAGGTACAACTTTTTTATTTCATGTAATATCCCATAATGACTTTAAGTATTTGGTGGATTTCTAAAATTTATTTTAAAATATGCATATGTACGCATTATCGAAGGATGTGAGTTCTGTTTGCTTGTTCACTCGCTCATCTGTATGCATAATTGTACTCTTGGATTAATTTTCTAAACATGAGAATGATGTTGACTTAGTATATTGATTCATCTAATTCTCTTCTTTCTCTCAAAATTGATTTTGCCTGAACGAAAACAAAGATAAGAAATAAAATCTGAGCGATGTAATATCTTTCAGGTATTATTACTCCGATGTAATTTGCCTTGATTTTTATTGATTATTTACTTCATCATACTCCCTTTTTATCTCAGGTGGTAAAAACGTTACTGAGATTCATAATGTGTTACTTCTTGTCCTTAAAAGTTGACTGACTACTGTTAACGTTCTAGGCATTTACAAATCTGTTAATTTCTTTTTATAGCGTAATAGAAAATAAAGATGCAAAATTTTCTTTACTATAGAAAATAACTTCCTGTTCACTTTGCTCAATATTATTTCATTTTAATATAGAAACGAGAAAGGAAACAATTTTAATCTTTTTTGTCTCTCTATTTCTCTTTGCATCACACAAATATGTACACATTACGTGGTACATCTACTCTTTATATGTTTATTGACCTATTGATTAACTGCTGCAGCTTTCTTTTTATCCACATTTAGTACATACCAATTAATCTGTATTGTTTTTTCTGCCAGTTATTAGCTATATCATATATAATTAAATTAACATTTAGTTAACAGTATTCTTTGTGGATTACATTATAATTTAGTACAACGTCTCGATCTATTTATAATTTCTCTCTCTATATGCTTCTTATTGACAAAGAATTTAACAGCGTCTGCAGATATGTAGTTGGTTTTTCTGTTTGACGTGGAAACTGTTTGTCAATATCATTTAGTGTGTACATGAATAGACAGTTGCATGTTTTATCATATCTATATAATATCTGTATTGATGAATATCATAAGGAGATAAAGTCTTGTCTCTTTTTTTCATATGAATAAAAAAAGTTATTTGCTCAAATTTGTTTTGCGTCAGTTTTGACGTGAAAGTTTTAAACACTTATATATACCGAAAAGATTATGTTTTCTATCGAACCGTGTTGTGATTGTGAAGAGATGAGGTTAAATCCTGTTTAAAGGTAATTTATAGAAGGAAGTATGTGGCGTTGCATTTAATTATCGCCTACACTTTAATAACACTGAAACTATGTATACCCTCATGTTTTCGTAAGGAATGGTACTTTTTTTCTAATCTAGTTTAAGTGAAGCTTGAATATGAAGTTTAAACCGTAGCTCTAGTTGTGTGAATCACTTTAAAATATATCTATTAACACTTTTTTAACTTCAAACGAATTAGCTCGTATTTTCCTTCATAACACAGCACTCACTTGTAGTTGAGTCTTATTTCCATAGAAGATATCACTGTAGATCTACTTCTGGTAAAATATATAGTACTTCATATTAGCCACAATTCGATTTATAAAGCATGGATTCTTATAAGGTTTCTTCTACGTTAAGCGGTATACAGAAAAATCACGTTCCCAATAGTGTTTATCTTCTGACAGGCATTCAATTATAAATTTCTTATCTTTACACATGTGCTTCTGTATTACATGTTACTTCGACCTGCTGAACATTTTCGAATATATTCTCACCTTTTTGTACTGTTCCCTTTTAATTGATATGTATTAGTTTTGCCATACATTCTTTAATCATTAGATTTGTCAATATATTTATTTATCTCATCATAAGTACTGACACGGCTGTTCGAAATATCCTGGTGCTTAAATTTTTAATGGTAACTAGCAATACACGTTTGTTCATATATAGGATATCATCTAAATTTTCCTGCATTCTGGTGTCGATATTCCCATATATATAGATCAACTTAATCCTAGACCTTTAAACAAGTAATAAATGCCTTTTTAGATTTTTCCTAACAGTCTATACAACGATTTCTTAAGTTTTCAACCGATTTGTCGTATGACAAGAATGCAATGAGTCTATGTGATTTATGGATGAACCAACCAGGTCTAAAGTAGTGACTTGGATTTTTGCGCGAAACTCATTCATATAACTAAATAGACCTTTGGCATTATAGTTAGTAACATTTCGTGACGAAAACTCCGTCTAATTCCAAAGCTCAGTTTCCAACTCTAACTCCCTATCCTAATTCCTTACACTAATTAAAAACATTTTGGTGGTATTAAGTGGTTGGACCTTCTCAAGGCCACTTAAGAACCTTTCAAAGGTCGTCCACAAACTATTAACCCTCCACGAAACCTTATAAAGTTATTTTTTGGATAAGATCTGCATTGGCAGGGACAAATACTTTCACAATGTTTTCTTGACTGTATGGTGCCAGGAAAAACTTTATTTTCAACTTGAAATAATTTAACTTGTAAATAGGGCTATCCTACTCAGTGTTCAGATGTTTTCTGCCGTTGCCACTAGAATTTCATGTCAAAGCTTGATGTCTCAATCTTAATAATTCTAGCTGTTTTGGCAGTATAATATAGTTTGGTGGGGAAGCTTAGAGATAGACACAAACGTCCATACCTAACCTAACGATGAAAGTAGTGCAATAACAAGCTAAAAACAACAGCGACGAATTGTTAGCTAGTTCTTGGCCGATGAGAAACAGTTTTTGCAAATAAATAATTTATGGAAGAGCAGAACAATTATATTGTAAAGTTTAAACAGGTTTTACATGATTAATTGAAGACTTCTAGAGAACTATGTTTGCAAGTCGGAAAAATTCAAATTCGTGCATACGGATTTAAAACATCTGTCTTTTCACACCCTCATAAGGACGTTAAAGATTCCCATTTTGTCCCTGGTTGGAGTTAGAGGAAATAAGGCTGCATTATAAGGGGAACCGTGATGGACTCAAATTGCGTTCAGGTGACAGAGTCGGCTAATCAGAAAACAACTTATCAAATTTCAAACCAAGCACATGAATATTCATCCATAGGTTTAAGATAACTTCTTTTTGTGGTTTTGCGCGAAATTCATTCATAGCTACAAGGAATTCCTCCATCATATCTAAAGAAAATTCGTAGTGAAAACCGTGGATCTTGTTCTCTCGTACATTCCATCATCGATAGAGGCCATGTGTGCTGATCGTTTTCAGTATATCCCGTATTGGGTGTTGCTGCAGAAATAAACTCTCAGAAAACCATGGCAGTTTACCCTATTCTAGTCATTCAGGGGCAGCAGGTGCAAATGAATGAGTTATTACACTAGGGCTGAAACGTATAACATGGCGTCTAGGATCCGTGCATTATGGCTGACGCAAGTTCATGGTGAACGGTTTAACGTGGATTCTAATACTAAGTTCTAACATTAATTCCTAACCCAATTTTGATGAGCTATTCGAGACCTTGAAGCAATTTTCACGTTCATTGACTCGGGTATATTTAGCTTACCGGGATTCGGAATTAGAGACTTAGGAATTAGGTCAGGATGAGGGTTATAAAGTTTGGATTCAGGGACAGGGTTTATTTGCGTTTTGTATACACTCTACATAGAAATAATTAGGCATTGGATACTTTGAATATTTATTTTTAATATTCAGTGGAAAAACTTAGTTTTGATTATCAATTTTAATGTTATGAGCACTGTACATGGGTATATTGTGTGATATGAGATAAACTAATTTTTTGCCTAATGGAGTTTCTGGCATACTTTCATTAGGCTATAACAAAAACCTAAGGTTTTTCATTCATCAATATGGTCTATTTGTCTGTAGGAAGCAATGAGTTATTCCAAACAATCATACGCTTAATTTAGGATTGTACTGTGTTGGATATTGAAGAGTAACCACTTTTTTTTCGAACTTCCAGTTTGCGGTCACATTAAAAAGTTGGTTTTCAAGATAGTATTTATTCTATAATCGACCCTAGCTGACTATTCGAATTGAGCTTGTCAAAATTTAGTTTATTTATTTATATATCATATAATTAAGATTTACTCAAGCTATAATTTAAACTCTGTCCTCTGAATAGATGAAAATAGCATAAAAATACCCCGTTTAAACTAGCACGATTTTATCTGTTTAACATATTACCATCGTAAAAACTGTTTGAGTACATACATAAACTGATAATA